GAGTCAGGGATATCAAGAGTCAAGACGATGTAAGAGCACATCAGATGTAGGGGGCAAGCTTTAAAATACTCCCTTGTCAAGCAAGGAAGGAGGCAATTTGGACAAAAAACAAATGATGTGTCCAGGAGAAATGGCTCTCAAGCCCAACTCATTCTGAATAGTTTTGCAAGATCTGAGGGCAGAAGGGATTGTACCCCTCTGCCAGGTGGACAGACCCCAGTGGTGCCTCTGTACCCCAGTGTGAGGTGGAGGCTGTGGGACGTGGTCCAGATCACACAGGCTAAGAGTAGAGGTTGTGTGGTTTGACAGTAAGGAACAGATAGAAAGGGGGCCCATCTTGGCAGATACCAGGGCACCAAGGGAATGCAGAGGTTAAGAGGATCCCGTGCCTCTTTCCAGCTCTGCTCTTGAGCAACTTAGGGAAGAGAAGAGAAATGCCATAAACTGTCTCCATTAGTACCTAACACCAGGGAAAAAAAGGGGCAGGAAATATCAAGTTATGTAAATAATAGTGGGCTTGATTTCCTGCACAGCCTCGCCAGGCCTATGTGCTATTGTTTTCATCAAGCACTCCAAAGGCGTTCGCCTTATGTTTTATACCAACTCAAACACAGCAACACCCTCAACCTGAATGTTACTGGTATTGCTATTTTATACCTGGGGAAACTGGGGCACAGAAAGTTCAGGTAACTGACCCACAGTCACACAGATGAGTGAGAGAGCTGGGACTTGAACCCCAAAGTCTGCATTCAGAGCTAGTATCCTCAATCTAATGCCTCCTCAAGGTCTTTTTCAGCATCAAATACCCTGGTAAGTGCTTGAAAAAATACAGTTTCCTTGTGTTCTTATATCTAGTCCAGAAGGTGGGGGTAAACTTTAACACCTATTTATGGCAGAGGAAATAAAGATGCAGGATTAAACAATAATCTGTCCCAGGCCACAGCCAACTTTGCAGACAGGATCTGGACATAGGCTTGGGGGACTCAAAGGCTGTTTCTGTCACCAAGGTTGTGTAACCAACCATTCCCAAATACAGCTGTGTGAAACACCCATTTTATTTTGCCTCTGGATTCTGCAGGTTGGGAATTGAAGATGGCTGACCTCTTTCCCAATGTCATGCCTCATCTGGGAGGACTCAGCTGCTGGGCTGATCTGACATCTGGGACGGGAATCACTTACACTTCCAGCGGTTGAGATGACTTCCAGCTCGGACTTCAGCTCAGCTAAAGCCTGGAACCCCAACAACATGTGGCTTTGCCATGTCATTTCTCTATGGGCGCCCTCTTGGATTTCCTCCAGCATTCTCCATTAGTCAAGGCAGACCCATGGGGCCTCCCAAAAGGTGGGGACAGTCCTGTGCCACATCTGATGGGCCCGCGTCAAGAGACGTGGGGTGGGAGCTCCTGCCATGGGAGCTCTGGTCACTGCAATCAGAGACAGCACTTCTCACTGGTCCCCATAATTCCCTGCACATTAGAATCACTTTCAACGTCCTAGGGCCCTACTCTCCCCTAGAGCAACGAAAACAGAATCTCTGGGGGTGGCCGTCAGCTACGGGTATTTTCTTTTCTCCTGGTGGCACAAGGAGGCCTTCCCTCTTGACTGCCAAGCAATGGCAAGGCAGCGTCTGGCTGTGACCCCGAGGACTCAGCCCCCGAGGCCAGCGGTGGTGGTGTGAAGCCTAACAGAGGGCCATAGTCAAGTGTTTCTTTTTGCAGTTATCTTCTGATTATGACAAACGATGGTGGGTTTCCATTTTTGGTGGCTACTAGTTTCTTTTTTTATGCATTTGAGTAAAAAAGGCAAGGTGGTAATTTTTTAAATGCTGAGTAAATAATGGCAACGCCCCAGTGCTCAGAGGACAGACATCATCAAGCCCTGCGTGAAGGACAGAGCTGGGGAAACCCTGAGGCAGAACAGCGGCCCTGGCAGCTCCGTGCTCTGGCTGTTACCAGAAACGTCTGGAAGGAGCGCTGGTTGAATGTCTGTTGGGTGACTCTGAAATTTAAAAATATACACCTTTTAGAAGGGAGTGGGCAGAAGGGGACCATGGTGTTTGTGAAGCCCCAGAGAGCGTTTCCCAATTCTCTGCATGCATGAGGAGTCCTTTGAACTGAGGCAACCTGACAGGGAAATTTCCGTAAGCCCTGAGGGGACAGAGAGTCGGGTCATTTCTCCACTTCTCAGGAGGAACCCAAGAAATTGGGGAAACAGATAATACGTGCAATCAGGAGATAAAAAAGAAAGGGAGTTAAGAGGGGGTGGTGAGAGAACAGGTTCTGGGGGTGCCCCAACTGACTCCCTCGTCCTCCTTGTGAGTGTAAGCCAGACCTGACCCCCTCCATCCCAGGCCTTGATTTCCCCTCTGCAAAGGGGTCCTTTCAGATCCAAACATTCTCTCATTCCGAGAAGCATCAGATTCCAGGAACAGGCCCTGAAGACTCCCCAGGCAGAGGCTGCCCCAAGGAAGGACCAGGTCAGGGAAGGCCAGTCAGCCAGGAGCGGGGGTGGAGTGTGGGACCACCTGGGAGTGTCAAAGGACCCACAACACCAGAGTGGCCACATCCAGCTAGGGACACAGCACTTTCTCACCTTTGTTTTTTCTTTAGAAGTACATGTAGGAGAGAGGTGTCTCACCATTTGACAGGTGAGGAAACTGAGGCTTTGAAGGAGTAATGGACCAGAAACTTCCCTCATTATCAGTACATGATTCTCTTCAGTTGTGTGGTAAAAAAGGCGAAAGTCGGGCCTCCCTGGTAGCCTAGGGGTTAAATCTCAGCACTATCACCGCTGTGGCCTGAGTTAGATCCCTGGCCAGGGAGCTGACCCATATATGGCGCAGCTGACCTCTCCTGTCTTGCCTGCTGTTCCCCTAAGTAGTATATTTCAGTAAATCCACCTTTTCTTCTCCCCACTCTATTTCTGGTGGAATCCTCTCATCCACCTCTGGCCTATACCCACCTCTTCTATGCAAAATAAATAAAAAGGGAAAAACCTGGGCATCCAAAGCCAGATCCACCCAAGTTCAAAATCCCACGTTCAAAACCCCAAAGCTCCTACTGATTGCAGCTGTGTGACTTTGGACAAATTACTGAATTTGTCTGAGCCTCGGTTTTCTGGTCTGTAAAATGGGGTTAGTAATGGTGTGCTTATTGGGTGACAGTCAGAATTAAAGTAATGCCTATTTATGCCTGTAACTTACCACCTGTAAGACACATGTCACTGAGTAGTAACTCAATACAAGGGAGCCACTGCCTTGATTACCAGAAGCTGACGTGCCAGATCCATGCTGGGTGGACAGTTCACTGCCCAGTGCTGCTTCTGCCATTTGCCTCCTGATTTCAAGAGCTGACAGTTATGCTAAGGTTTGATTCCAAACAAACCAGGGTTCCATTTGTCCCTCCTTGCCACCCATGCCTTAGACCAGGCTCTGGTAATACAGTGGACATCCATTAAACATGAATAAATCAATAACTGTCATGAGGTTCATGGGGCAATCTGCAGAAACTATGACAAGATCACTGAAGTTCTGGATGTAGGCTTGCTACATGGGCCCGGACTGGGGTTGGGGGAGGCGTGAGTGTAGGGCAACTGGGAGGAAGACTTTGAAGAGAAGGAGGCATTTGAAATAAACCTTGCCAGATGGGTGGGATTAAAGACATCTCTGATAGAAAGTACCAGAAAAAGCAAATCTTGTTCAGGAACAGATGAAGAGTCTGCAATCAGGCAACTCAAAGGCAGCAAGATCTCTATCCCTAGTGGTATTCACACTAGCAGGGGTGACCCCAGGATGGGGTGGGTTTGGACTCGATGCCTTTTAATGCCCTTCCCAGTGAGAGTCTGTGGTTGTTATTGGGCTGGACACGGGGGAGGGGGTGATGGTAAAGCAGCCCAAAGGTTTACTCCTTGGTGATCCACTGTGCATCTCTGACTCCTCCTACGGGTGTCCCATTCTTCTGTCCATGATCTTGGGCCTGGAGAACATTTGGCTCCAGTTTCACAGTCTTGGGTTTATAAGGAAGGGCAGGAAATAACAGAAAAGGCCCAGCCCAGGGCCAGAACTAGGGAGTTTCTCCCCCACCTATGTTGAGACTGTGAAAAATGTTTCTTGCTGTTTTTTTCCAGCAGCCACTCTGCTCTGTTTCCGTTAATAATAAAACCCCAATCCCCACAAATCTGGGCTAACTGATGCCTAAGGAGCTAAATTCTGCATCTCCTAGCCTCTCCTGTAATTGGGTGTGGCCATGTGACTAAATTCTGAGTAGGTGTCATATGTCCTGCTTTTAGGTTCGGCCTCACAAATGAATGGGTGTGGCTCCTTTGTCCCTTCCTGCCCTCTTTGCACAGGCTGAGGTGCAGACGTAATGGCTGTCTTGAATGTTAAAGAGGAAGCCATGTTTTGAGGGGGCAGAATGAGCAGCTAAAAGTAGCTGGAACCCAATACAGTGGAGTTGTCATTTTAGTCCAGGGGTGTTTACTTTGGGACTCTTATGTGAGAGAGTATTGCTTGAGTATTTCTTTTTAGTAAATTGTTTTCTCAATCAGTGAATCCTGTTTGTTCCAATCACACCTCCTACTGGTCCCACATGCTTCTCAAACTGATTCACACTAAGAATCTCCCTCCCAAGCTGGCCTCCCAAATGAGCTGTCCTGGCAGCCTCCGGGGCAAGGGACCCACCACCTACTTGAGGACAATAAGCATCTTTGAATTCGAACCTTGAGTAACTTGGGCTGAGTCCCTTCATGTTTTAAGTCTGCCAATGGCACCAATAAATAACATTTACTTCAAAAGGTGGTTTTATGTGGATAAATATAATCAACAAAAAAGAGGGGGATTGCTTCATGAGCAGGATTACAAAGAAATGGGAAATTTCCCTGCACCCTATCAGGATGGCAGAAATCTACACATCAAAACACAAACATACAAACAGCACACCATGCTCACCTCTACCTGTGCCACGCCCACACAGTCAGGAACCCCCCTTGCAGGTACATAATCAAATGCAAACACTAACAAAAAATGCTTTTATTGGTGCATGCACCTGCAGACACAAATGGGCAGAAATGTGTGCAAACGAAAACACAGAAGAGAGGACGAAAACACACAAGCTGTAGTTGCTGTTTTTTGTTTATTGTTGCTGCCACCCTGGAAAGCTTGTTTCCTTCCCCTCTTTCTCATTTTGGGGGTACTTTTCCGACTCTGCCTCTCCAATCTCTGCCTCTTGCTCCCCATCTTGCCCTTTTTCTGGGAGGGGGATGCTTCCTTGGTGGCCCTTCGGAGCCTTAGTCAGGCAGGGTAAGTCCTGGGGGTGGGGTGGGGGCAATAGGCCTGGGTCCTGCTGCCCTTCTCTCCCCCAAGCCGATTCCTCTGTGGTCCTGATTGCACTGCTGTCCTGTCGCCATCGAGGTGTGGTGTCCGGGTTCCAGCCTCATCTGATGAAGGAAAGCAGGTGTGAAAGGGACAGAGGCCTGGGTGCTAATTCTACCTCTTGTGGTCTCTTGCTCTGTGACACCAAGGAAGGACCCCACCCTCTCTGGGCCTCAGCTCCCCTCTATCTGTAAACCAAATTTTGCTCCACTTGGACAGGGTCTGTTCCCCCTTTCACTAGGAATCTCAGAGTCAAATGCATGTCTCACTTCATTCTATGGCGAGACCACGTATCCCCTCTATGCCCCAAACCAAGCACCTTCAGATCTGTCCTTTCAAGGCACACGGACTCCTTCAAGCCCGGGGCCCTGACTCCTCACCTCCAGGTCTGCCTCAGGGCCGTGCCCCTCGCTTTTTCTGCTCTGTGTTCCGGAGCTTGGTCACCAGCTTCCTCTCGTGCCCACCAGGGCTGTGGCGGTTGGTGTTGGCAGCAGCTTCTCTCTTGGTGCGACCTTTCCGGCCTCCCGCTCCTGGGAAGCCAGGCAGAGTCTGAGGTGAGGTGGCCAGGGGCAGGAGGCCGGGAGTGCAAGGCGGAAAGAGCCGATGTGGAGCAGGGAGGCTGGGGGGTGGGGGGTGGGGTGCGGCAAGGCAGTCTTGCATCAGTCATGGTCCCTGTATCCTCCTCTAGGAATGAGGGGCTCTGGGTGGTCTCCAGGTGAGTGTAGGGTCCCAGGACTGACCAGGACACACCGGGTGGACAAGGGGCTGGAAGAAGGCGACTTGAAAGGTCAAGGGAACATGACATAAAGAAAGTGAGGAGTCCAAGAAGGGAGAAGTCCACTGAGGGGTCCTCCTTGGGGGGGATTCCAGTCACTTGTGGGGGTGGGGATCAGAAGTGGAAGGACCAGAAAGGTGGCAGAGCCAGGTCTTACCCAGGTAGGAGTGGGCCAGGCTGTAGAGGTCATATTCATCCAGGCAGGGGTCTTCATCCTCTGGGCCTGGGAGCTGCCGGGAAGAGCTGGCTGCCGGAGGGAAGGTGGCCATCCTGTCTGCCTCACTCTCCCTGTCTCTCCTCTCTAAAACTTTGTTTGTGTCTGGTTTCCTGACACCGCCAAGTCTTCTGGCCCCAACTTATAAGGCCAGGCCTCCTCCCTGGCCTGCCTCCTGGTTCCAGCCCTGGAGGCTCTGTCTGATGCAATCTAACGCTTTCCCAGAACCCAGCCCAGTCAACACCAGTCACGAGAGGGAAAAGGAATCTGTCTTGAGTCTCACTCCCCCTTGCCTCCTCCCTCTCTCTGGGGCTCGCCCAGCTGGGTATTTTTCCACAGAGGAGATCCCCACCCCTCAGGCAGGAGGAGGAGGAAAGAGGCAGGATCAGGGCAGGAATAGTCCTTGGCCTCACGACCCCCAGGGACCTGAGGTTCTCACCTGGCTGCCTCCTTCCTGTCCATCTCCTGCCCTCTGCCGCGTTCCCCTCCCGGGCCTGGCCACACAGCTGCTCCCCGGCCCCCTCCCTGCCAACTCAGTGTTGGCAGATTCAGAGCCATGTTGGCAGGACTTGAGGTGAAGAAAGAGGGGAGAGGAGAGCAACACACTATGTGTTAGGTCATTAGATCTCACCCCATCAACCCCCCTTTTAAAATCAGAACCCCTTAATATCCTGAACTGGGGTGGGGGGGGCTAGATAATCTCCCTCACGTGAGAGAAAGCCAGCAGAGTGGTTAGGAAGGAAGAATCTGAAGCCAGACACCCTAGGTTCAAACCCTGGACCCGTTACTTCCTGTTTGACCCTGGACGTGTCACTTTAGCTCTCTGTGATAACAACCGCACCGACACTGCAGGCTGGTGAGAGGTCGACAGGACGTGATGTGTGGACGGGCACTTGCCACATGCCTGGGCCAGTTTACACGGTTGTGAGAGCGAATCCTACAGTTTCCAAAAAGCCCGATATCATGTCCTCACTGCAAAGTGAAGGAGACGGAAAAAGAAACTAATTTATAACAAAGTAAGATGTATTCTATATTTCAAACGTGGGTATAAGTAGGTAGAAGACATTATGAAATAAACAGATTACTTGTACCTATTTAATATCAACTGAGGGAGGGGGTTCAAATACATACATGAGAGTGGAATTCCTACTCTTGCCTGAAGGATCTGCCCGTGTGGGTGGCACTGGCCAGGAGTGGCCCCAACCTGAGTTGCCCACCCATGCTTGAGGGGAGGCTTGTGCCCCAGCTCCAGTTCCCACGGTCAGGGCAGACACCACATCCCACTTTCTTTTAACTCTGTGGTCTCTGGTGCAACAGGACCTTCTCCACCCAGCCCAGCTGTTAATTCTCTGTCCTCACCCCCGCTTTCCTGTCAGTCCACTGAAACACGGTTCCATCTCAGCTGTTACCTAAACACCATCCTTCCCCCCAAGCCTCGAATAGCTCAGTCATGTCCACTTCCTCTTGCGTGACTCCCTGACCTGGGTCACAAATAAATTTAGCTTTTGTCCTCCAAATTTGGGTGATTTGTGAGTCCTTAACACCCAGGAAATGAGAGAGAACACAGGGGGGACATGAATAAAAAAGATCTGGGATAAAAACAAACAGACTGGATGGCAAGAAAAAGTGGCAAATAACCTTAGACAAAGATAACAAACACCCAGACAATTAAGTGGAGAAAATGAGTTAACCGGTGGCCTTGCAGAGCAAGGCAGTAGCAAGTAGCAAGTACAGTAGCTCGTTTCTTTCTGTCAGGACGTGGGTGGGGTAGGGTCTAGGCTCAGTCATTGTAAAGAAGTTCCTTAGCCGCATGGATGTGTAAAGGCACAGTCAGGTATTGAGCAGGCGGGGAGACAATTTGGTGGGCTACAGCCCTGGGGTAGGGGGCCGGCAACCAAAACACCCATAAGTACCCGCGCTGCCCCTAGGGGGCGGTCTTTGGTGCATTCGCCTCTACCACCAGGACTCCTCTCTCCAGCGGGGAGACCTTGGGCTCACCTCTGGGTTTCAGTGTGCTCGTGTATAAAGAGAGGATAGCAACAACACCCATGGGTGAAAGGGTTTCGTCCAGAGCTTGGCAAGTGACGTTGTACTGTTGCCTCCATTCTTCAAAGGAGGAAAACTCAGGCTCAGTGAACAACTAGTTCAAGGCCACATGGCTGGTGCTAAGTGGTGAGGCCCTCCCTGGCCACCTACTCCAGCTCCAGGTTCCTTCTAAGTCAGCACAGCTGGGCAAACATGGGCAGAGGTTTAGCAGTTGTGAGTGTGGAGGCACCTGTCAGAGATTCCTGCCTCCCTCCCTCCTTAGCGCCTGCCTTAGACGAGGCAGATGCTGAAGACAGGGACCTCTGGCATCTCAGTCAGATGGGGAGGTAAATCGTTAGCAGTTGGGCCCACACTCCAATCCAGAATAACTCTCAGGCCTCTATAACCCTGATTTGGTTTTGCTTTCAGTTATCACAAATCAAAATATCTCTTTAATTTGTTTGCTTCTCTGTGATGTGGCCCCGCTGGAATGCAGTGGTTGGTCTGGTTTCCTTTTGGGTAGAGGAGGGGCGCCACAGCCCGCTGCCTGCATCTTGCGCTGGGTTCTGCGTTGGCAAGTTGGGTGCCTTTGACAAATTATTTTCCCTCTCCCAGCCCCAGGTTCCTCATGAAATGGGATTGACAACAGTACCTACCTACCTAGTGGGACTCTTAGGAGGATTAAAAGACCAGTTCTGGGCCTCTCTGGTGGCGTAAGAGGTTAACATGCAACCTATGAAGGTATCCACAGCTACTGCAGCACAAGTTCAATCCCCAGTGAGGGAGCTACCCACATGGCCCAGCAGACCTCTCCTGTCTCTCCCGCTGCTCCCCTCAGCAGTGTATTTCAGTAGATCTGCCTGTTCTGCTCCCTACTCTGTCTCTGGTGAATCCTCTCACCCCCCCACACACAGACCTCTGGCCTGTACCCCAGTTCTTGTATGCATAAATAAATAAATCTTTAAAATAAATAATTAAATAAAAATAAAGGACCAGTTCTCTTAAAGGCCCAGTGCAGCTCCTAGACCATAGTAAGTAGCCAGAAAATGTTAGCTGTTCACAAGGACAGGATCTTATTATCGTGTGCTCGAGTTATTGTTCAATAAATGACCCACTGAATACATGAAACTTTGCCAAGATCCGTTCTGCTTTTTCAACTTCCAGATACCTGGAAGCTGGGAAATGTGAGGCGCAATTCTAGTCCTATAGAGAACTGTGAAGACATTGCAGCCAGTCTCACTAGATCCAGAGCGGGCACTCTCCCTGGCCTTGACCATGCAGGTGCTGGAGGAAGGAAGCCTGGACCCTGGGGAGAGGGGTGGGCAGAGGGAGGGTGGCTGGGAGAGAAGGGACTTTTGGGAATCCATTGGCATGGACCTGTAAGGCCCAAAGGTGACTCAATGGGAAAGTCAAGAGCTGTTTTTTCAGTCTCCAGGTGTGTCTAATATGTCAGCCACGAGGAAGAGGAAGTTTATTTACTTTCTGCTCATGACTATGCCTTTGTGACATTCCAGGAGATTTCCAGGCATACCAGTGTGATCTGCCTGGAGGAAACACAGGGGGCTGGGAGACCTCTCAGGACACCTGACTCAGTGGGAGTGTATCGGGGGCTGGGGAAAGGATCAGGGCAGACTTCCTAAAGGGGGTAAAGCTCCAATAAGAATGACAGTGAGGGTCTCCCTGGTGGCCAAGGGGTTGAGTCTCAGCACTTGAAGCTATCAGCAGCGACTGCAGCGCAAGTTCGGCCAGGGAGCTGACCCACATGGCGCAGCAGACCTCTCCTTTCTTGCCCACTGCTCCCCTCAGCAGTGCATTTCAGTAGATCCACCTGTACTGCTCCCCACTCTGCCTCTAGTGAATCCTCTCACCCCTCCCCCTTCTGGCCTATACCCCAGTTCTTGTATGCATAAATAAATCTTTAAAAAGAAAAAAGAAAGCTGCAGAACATTATGTGTACTTAATCCGAATCTTGGCCTTCATTTATTGAATTAATAGTTAATTATGAGTAATACGTTGTGTTGGGCATAATAATGTGTGGCACACATTCTCTGGGTGACTGAGAAATTGATGGTAAAATAATAGTGCAAGACTTTCAAAAAATAGATTCTGTTACTGGAAGTCTGGAGCCCCGCAAACCTGATGCCATTTAACAGATGAGGACAGATGAACAAGAGAGGCAGCATTCTTCATTCTACAAAAGTTTAGGGCACTCACTATAGGCTAGTTACTTGCTTGGTGCTGAGCTATAAAAGGAAGCAGAATACAGTGTCCCCTCTCCAGGGGCTCAGGAGTGAGTGGATGTTAGGGTCCCTTGGCAGGGAATTAGGATACCATGTAATAAGCCATGTGAGAACAGCACATTCAAGCCGTAAAGGGCACTAGCCCAGGCTTTGAGCCCTCCCCAGAGAAGGTCATTGCATCCAGCAGTGTGTTGGAAAACCAAGTGGACAATATCACACTGATATCGGATGAAGGGGACCTGTACCTGGACAAAAATTCTTTTTTTTTTTTAAGATTTATTTTTATTTATTTATACAAGCACTGGGTACAGTCAGAAGCACGGGAGGGTGAGAGAATTCACCAGAGCCAGAGTGGGGAGCAGAGCAGGCAGAAGGACCAGGGTACACTGCTGAGGGGAGCAGCGGGCGGCAGGAGAGGTCTGCGCGCCATGTGGGACCCTCCTCTGGTGGCCGGGGAGCAGCCGGGGATCGAACCGGCGCTGCAGAGGCTGCGGGGAGCTTCGCAACCCAGCGCTCAACCGCTGCGCCACCGGGGAAGCCCTGGACAAAAATTCTTGACGATATAAATGCCAATCCAGGTTCAATTCCATCTAACAGACTTTCTGACTGATCACTCCCACATGTTGATGTGCTCCTGGGGCCTCGAGGACTACCGCCCTACAAAGGTGATGCTCTGAAGGAATGTCCAGAGAAAACTGGGGGCCAGGCAGGGTAATCTTTAAATGCCGACTGGTGCATTATTCAAACTGAAACATCCTTGCATCACTCCATCCTTGCAGAGGAAAATCTATTCAAATAACCTCTCGCTGATGACGACCAGCATTTTGCAAGTTACGTAGGCGGTGGGAGATCCCCGCGCACAGCCTGCGACTACATGGACTATGTCACATCTAATGTCTTATTTTTGTGAGAAAAATTATCTAGTTGCTGACGGAAAAATGGCGTAGAGAGCAATGGGATATGTGATATGTACCAAACTCTCAGTAGGAACCAAATAGTGGCAGTGTACTATCCCGGGATTATCTCAGCTTCAAGAGCTGAGACT